CGGGGATAGAGACAGGAACTGAGTGGATGTGGAGTCTTCAGGATTCGTGGAGCCAGGATCTCGCCCATTTTCCGTCTGATGTAGAGGGAAGAGCCAGGGGCTGGCTGCTTTGCTTTTCTGATCTTTAGGTTGAACCCAATATCTGTTTATGGGTCTTTATTATTCGTGCTACAACTTTGGAAGTCTGACCCCGAATTGCTTATTTTAAGCACAGTTAAGTACAGCACAATTTAGTGAAAGCTGTTGTGGTGATAACTAACTCAATGCAGCGTGCACAACAAAGCGTACATAATCTCCTTGAGAAACAGATCATGCGTGAAATCATCCAAACTCTTTGTAAAGTCCATGAAGACTTTCTGGGGAAAACAAATTTATGTGTGAGGGTCTGGGAGAGAGAGGATCCAGGGCTGGAAAACCTCTAGCCACACAGATAAAGCAGAAGTCACTAGACTAATAAGCATGTCTGCTCCAGTCTTCCTGGCAGAGCACAGCTTTTGCATTCCTTCCCCTGAAGGAACAGCCCTGTGTGTTTAACATTCCAGGCTCTCCTAGAGCAGAGGTTCTTGGCCTTCCTAAGGCTGTGACCCTTTAATACAGTTCCTCCTGTCGTGGTGACCCCCAACCATAAAATTGTTTTCATTGCTACTTCATAACTCTATTTTTGCTATTGTTATGAATAATAATGTAAATATCTGATATGCAGGATGGTCTTAGGGTCATTTGACCTTGACCTCCACCCCCATCACCCCCACCCCTTCACCCCCCTTCTGCCATGGGCCTCAACCTATGAGCTGAGAAACACTGTCTAGCACACACCTGTGAGCACAAAGGCTTCGTGTCTCTCACAAGGCCACACCTCCTAGCCACCAACCAGACACCAAGCATTGAAATGTCCAAGACTTCGCGGAAATATAATACCTCATCCAAACCACCACAGCAGATTTTAGGATGTTGACTTGATGCCTTCTCAAGCTGCTGACTGCAAAGAGCAATTTGCACATTCCTCTCCGGTCTTTGCTCCTTGACTTCTGTGGTAACAGGTATCGTGAGCTCTGTCTAGTATTCCGAATACATCCAGTTGTTAGAATTAGATATAAGTGGGGTGGGAGCTGGGGAGACGGCTCAGTTGGTAAAGCGAGGACCTGAGTTCAGATCCCTAGCACCTACATCAATGCTTGGCACTGTAGTGCAAGTCAATAACCCCGGGGCTGGGAGGGTTACAGACATAGAACATCTGTGAGTCATATCTAGGATGCCTGCTGTCTAGGCAGGCTAGCCAACATAGAGAGCTGCAGGTTCTAGGAGGACTGTCACCAAAAATGAGGAGTAGAACAATAGAGGAAGACACCTGACATGAGTCTCTGTCCTCTACACATGCGTACACGGGTGTGTGCCCACCCCATCCCCCTGCAACCTGTACACACACCGAAAGAAAAAGTCACAGAGATGAAGCTGGGGGGTAGGTCAGTAGTAGAACACTTACCTAACATGCACAAGGCCCTGGGTTCAAACCTTACTATTAAAGAGATTAATAAATAGGTTACTTTGATCATTCAGTTTCTCTTTTAGAATTAAACACTTGGAGGGAGGCTTTAAGGGGCAGAGGAAGGAATTATGGTCTATGGTTTTAGCTCTGAGTACAGTAGCCACTGTGGACTGTGAGTTCTCTGTCAACTTGGGCACACCCATCTCTTCCAACTTGAGATCCCCTGGCAGGATGAGCAGTGTGAACTGGCCTGTTCCGGTGATTAGCGTTATCCTGCCGTGGTGCTCTAGAACAATTGCTCCCGCCAGCCAGATCCCCCGAGCCTCACTGGAGATCAGTTACCAGCTTGCAGGTAGAGCAAAATGGGTTTCTAGATTTCTATTACACGTCTGCCGAAAGCCAAACTTCCAAGCCAAGGTGGTGGTGGTGGTGCCCACCTACAATTCAAGTATTTGGAAAGTTGAGGCCTGAGGATCCTGAGATTGAGGCCAGCCTGGGCTACATAGGGAATTATAGGTCAAAATCAGTTCCATAGCAAGACCTCTCAAAAACAAAAGATTCACTTGCCCGGGGCTTTTGCAAATGTAGCAGTTAAAAATTGATAATAGAAAGTGTGGGGGCTGAAGAAACAGCTCCGTGGTAAGAGCGTTGTGTGGGAACGCGGGGGCACCTGAGTTCAAATCTAAATAAAATTTGGCTGTGGCTGCATGTGCCTGTAAGCCCAGTGTTGGAGGTCGGTACAGGAAGATCACAAGAGCTCGATGGCCCACCAGCCTAGCAGAAATGGCTAGCCCCAGGCTCAGTGAGAGAGCGTGTCTCAAAAAAGACAGAGTGACAGAAAACACCCAATATCTTCCTTTGTCCTCCCCTGAGCACATTCATCTGAACACATGTGCATAGTACATGCACACACGCACGCACACACACGTGAACACAGTGAAAATTTTAATGTGTTGAGCTATAAATCACTAGAGAATTACTTGACTGGGTATTGAATACAGGTTTGAAAAGCAAAGTATCTTTTCTTATGTATATAGTCACCTTTCTCATAATGTAACCAGAAGCATATATGGAGAGAAACAATAAGAACTTTGAGACTTGGGGGAAGGGGCTTGTTTGTTTGGTTGGTTTTGAGACATTGTCTTATGTAGCCCAAGCTGTTCTTCAACTCTCTACGTAGCTATGGTGACCTTGAATTCTCAATGCTCTTGCCTCCTCCTTCCAAGTGCCAGGGTTAGAGGTGTGTACCACTATGCCTGGATTGGAGACTTCTGTAATCCAGGCCATGTTCACGCTAGACAAGTGCTCTAACAACCGGGCTACACCTCCAGCTCCTTGTTGAGTTTTAAAAAGAATGTTTAAACATTTATTTGTTTCTGTTGTGTGTATATGCACACACGTGTGTTCATGCTCACACCCTGGTGTATGTGTGAAGAGATGGGGAAAAACTTGCAGGAGTCAAGAGTTTTACCACGTGGGACTCCGGGGATTGAACTCAGGTCATCAGGCTTGGCAGCAGCACCTTTACTCACAGAGCGTCTTTCCAGTCTCCCATTTTTTAGTATGTTTAATGATTTATTTACTTAAATTATTGGCTTTATCTGGAATTTGGCATAAATATCTTCAGTGTCGTTTCACTTTTTGAGGTGAAATTTATGTTTTTTTTTAAGCTTCACGATGAGGTGTCATCATTATGTTCTTAGCAATGTCCTGGGGACCACATGGAGGGAGGCATGGCTGGAGTACGACACACCCGGGTGGCAGCTGCAACCTGAATAACAGATGCTCCAGAGACCACGAATCATCTGGGAGTAACATTGCAATAGGGAATCCATGCTAGAGTCAATAACGTGAGTATTTAAGGAGGTTGAGGCGAAGGCAAAATACAGGTCACTCCCCGTGTCCTTAAAAAATAAGCCTCACCTACAGGGATCATTCAAGCCCTGCACTGGTCTATTTTTAGGTTGGACAGTTGTTAGGCATCCCTGGAGAAAACCATCTCTGTGCCAGGTTGCGGTTCCTTCAGAGTCTTTTGGTACAGTTAGTTTCTCCCCCTTCTCCTCTCCTCCTCCATTTGTTTGCTTCGAGACAGGGTCTCACTATGCAGCCCAGGCCTGAACCAGCTCTAAAGCCTCAGCTGGCCGCAAACTGGAGACAATCTTCCTGCCTCGGCCTCCCAAGTGCTGGGCATGGAGCTCAGGTGGCTGGGCACCTGGCTAGCGTGTACAAAGCCCTGGTCCAGACCACACACATGTCTATAGCAAATGACATGAAAACATAATTGTGTTTTGCCTACAGTAAAATGCATACCTACATACCACAGTCCCAGCTCTTTCTGTGAAACTAGCCAAGACGCTGTAAGTCCGTGCCGTCTTGTGCAAAGGCGGGCTCACCCTTAAGGGCACCATTGGCAGCTGGGTGAGTAAGCTGCTTGCTGTAACCCAGTGAGGCTCAAGCACCCTCAGGTGGACTTGGAGGAGCCTTGGATGCTCGTCCCAGTGGCAGCCTCCTCAGGATGCATCCAGAACTTTCCTCCCTATTTAGGCTAGAGTATCTAATGGAAGCAAAGTTCATCACAAATTCCTAAACCTTCCTTAAAGGACACCTTTTTAAGCATTTGCCCACAAAATTGCAGCCAGCCTCATCAAAGTGTACTCAGAGTCTTAGTTAAATATACAGTTTATTTCTCTAACCCACTCAAGAGGGATTTTGTTTTGCTTTTATTGTTTTTGTTTTTGTTTTGTTTTGTTTTATCTTTTGAGACAAGGCCAAAATCTGGTGAACAAACTAACTTGGAATTCACTTTGTAGCCCAGGTTGGCCTTAAATCTAAGCCTCCCAAGTGCTGGGATTACAGGTGTGGGCCCTATAATCAGTTAAGAGTTTTCTTGTTTGTTTCTTCTTATTTTGTTGTTGTTTGGGTCAGTCTTGTGAAGTCTAGTCTGGCTTCAAGTTTCCTAGGTAGCTGACACTTCCCTTAAACTCCTAACCCTCCCGTCTCCATCTCTCAAGAGTGAGGACCACTGGCCTGTGCTACCACACCTGCTGGCCCTTTAACAGGTGAGCAGGAGGCAGAGCTGAGTCTTCAAAAGCTAGGGGAAACAAGCAGGCCCCGGCTGCCATGGCTAACCTACGTGGGAAGGACAGCAGCAGTCACGTGGTGGGTGTCAAGCAACAGGATGTCACTGTACACAGACAGTGGCTGGTTGTAGTCTTCCAGGACCTAGCCAGATCCCTAACTTCTGTCCCTCCTTGGGGCTGAGCTGATCAGGTGGGAGGGAGGAGGGTAGGGGTTTATGCTTCTCAGAGAGCTCAGACTCTGACTTCTTGAAGCCTTGGGTCAATAATTCTCTGCCCACCGTGCTGAAAGGAGACCATGGACGTTTTAGGGGCCAGCCCATCCTTATCGAGGAAGAGAGGGTCTCTGGGTCTCTTCTCCGTCCCAGGTTTCCCTTCTAGAGGCTTCTCTATCAGTGAGGGACACGACTGGCAAGGAATCCCACCAGGCTGCCGAGATGAAATGTCTTGAAGGTTTTACCACGTGGGCCGAGTGTCTACAGAAAAAGTCCAGAAGGCCGCAGGGAAGAGGTACACATCAACGTGGCTAAGAGACCAGGCGCAGTACCGTGACTGAAAGCTCTGCCGTGGCTAGCTTTCTGAGACAGGGTTGTCTGGGCTTTTGTTTTCCTGGCTGCTGTGGGAAAACTATCAGCAATGCTCTAACAGTGCTGTATGACTGTATGTAGGCGTGCAGTGTAAGGTAGGGAGCATACAGGGTTAAGTTGCACTGAATGGGGACAGCTGAGATGAGCTCATTTAAAGAGGCAACAGAAGGGCTTGTTAGATTAGGAAGAATGGGTGGAGAAAGAGGCCTGTGGTATCCATTTAGAAGTGATCCCCGGGCAGTGAAGGGGTTTGGAATCTGTTTAGTGCTGCTAGGGCTAATGGCAGCTCATTTGGGAGTGTCCTGGGGCGGAGCTAAAACAGTGTGGTGTTCAAAAATGGTTCTAGAGCCCAGTGGTAGAGGCAGGTGGATCTCTGTGAGTTCGAGGCCAGCCTGGTCTACAGAGCAAGTTCCAGGATAGTCAAGAATACACTGAGAAACCCTGGGGGGGAAAAAAGAAAGAAAAGGAAAAGAAAAGAAAAATGATTCTAGAGATGGCTTCTGAATGGAGCTTCTAGTTAGCATCAGCTTGTCTAGATCAGAGTTTTCACACCATTAATACAGCAATGTCTCTCGCTATCTTCTTCCCGAGGCCTGCACTTACACCAGGGGCCAAGCAAGTTCTCTGTTCCCCTGGCTCCTGAAGAAGGCTCAGTATCTGCCTTCCACCTGGAGAAAGTGGAAGAAGAGAATGAAGAGGAAGATGTGTGTTCAGATCAGGCCCCAGATGTGGAGGAGGAAAGGAATGATCTCGGGGATCCAGCCATCCTGAGTGTCATCCAAAATACCCAAGTACCACGGCAGGTAGGGCTAGAGAGAGCGGTCCTGAACACCCACATTCCTTCACAGACTGTCACTCAACAATCCTCTTGTCACCTCTGCTGCTTTAAGACCCATTTTGAGTTACCAGTGTTTATTTCAGGTATGACGCTGAGCTGGGGTTTTCTCCTTCTCCTTCCTCCTGTCTCCCATTGACGCTTCTGCAGCTGTACTTTACCTTAAATCAGGTCCGAAGCCAGGTGCCGTGGTGCACACCACACCTGCGATCCTAGCACTAAGACTCCTGAGGTGGAAACAGAAGGATCATGACTTGTCCTCAGTCCGGATTGCATAAAGAGACCCAGGCACAGACAGACAGACCAGGCATGCGTGCATGTACTCTCTCTCACACACACAAGTGTGCCCTAAAATCAAACAAGCAAAAATCCACAAGGCTGGGGCAGGAGGCCACTAAACTGCAGTCCTTGCCTTGCAAATATGAGGACCTGAGTTCAGATCTCGGGAACACATGTAAACCCTGTATACAGCAGTGTGTCCCTGTAATCCTAACCAGTGCAATGGGAGGTAGGGACAAGAGAGACCTTAGGAGCTTAAGGCCAGCTTGCTCAGTTCGCCCAGCCTATATGGCCAAGTTCCAGGCCAATGAGAGATCCTGTTTCAAGAAAAAGGTAGAAAAAGCCTGTAGACCAACATCTGAGGTCCTCCTCTTCCCTCCACACCACACACAGTCACACACACACATGTGTGCCTCCGAGTTCATGTGGACACAAAACCCCACAGGGTCCTGTGTCTCCCATAGATAGCCACCTGACTATTGGTGCGTCCCTTTTGTTATAGCCTTGTGTCTTGGCAGGCCATGCCTAGTATGTGATCCCTTACATTCACACAACCAGTGGAAAAAGACAAGGACTTCCAGTATAAGCCAGGTGTCTTGGCCCTCCTGCAGCCTATCCCTGAAACGTTAGCCCTCTTCTCAGGAGGAAGAAGGAGCCTGGCCTTGAGGATGAAGGGGAAGGCCAGGTTATTACTCTCCCGGCTGCTGAAAAACTGACTTTGCTACCCCAGCCTTGTTCCCATGAAAACAAAAAGCAAAAGACAGTGCGGGGTCTGTTCGAATCTGGCATTTCTTCCTTTCTGTTCCAGAGAGGCCTGCACGGTCCCTCTGGAGCCGAGGCCCTTGGTACCCTGGGAATGTCACAGGCCTCCTTGCGTTTTCTGTGCCAGGTGAGTCGAGTCTAGTCTCTATCCTGTAAGGAGGTGACTGAGTGATGCAGAACATTTCCATTCCTGGAAGTGTTGAATGTCCCTTGCTTGCTTCCTTATGTTCAGTCTACCCTTCTCCTTGCCCTGGAGATGAAGCGTCCAAAGTGAAGCATTGGTGTGGGGTGGACAGCCACACCAGGCAGAAGAGCTTGGTCAATGACAGGTGGTGCAGGATGACCTTAATAAGTGCTACGGGAACAACTGTCACTCATACGAAACGGGACACACAATAGATTCCTACTCCATTATAAAATATCTCAGCAGATGATCAAGTACTGAACTCAGGGGCAGGAAAGACACTGGCTGCCCATGAAGTACTTAATAGTGTAAGAATGGAAGACTGGGAAACCCCGTAGGGAGAGCTATAAGGTAACTGAGCTCTGCTAAGGGCTTGGGTGAGGCAGAAAAAAAAAATGCTGAGAAGCCTGCCCTCAGTAGCTGAAGACAGAACACAAAAGCAGAAAGGATGCTCAAAAGCATCCTCCTCCCCCATCCTCAAAGACGGAAAAGGCATCTCCTAGGAGGTGGCAAACTGTCAAAGGCAGGAAGCGCGGTCTCCACAGCTGCCTAGAGGGTTTTGCAAAACACTGGGCGAAATCACTGAGGGGAGGTGAGAAACCCAGAGGGAAACGACCTGAGCAGGGGCAGCGCTCACGCCTCTCTCAGTGGAGTACCCCCGCTTGTCCCCTGGACTATCTGTGGCCAATTCCTTTCCAGCCTCCATTCTCAAGAGCCAGCTTCCCAGCCTGCCACATGGGACCTCACCAGCCTTCACCGGATCCTCTTCTGTCCTACAACCCTTTGGCCCCGTGGCCCCCTAAACTCAGGTATCAGCGACAGGCTTCACAATGAGGACAGGCTGAGTTCCTCCCATAGGTCATAAGACATGGTGGCCAAGGACCACCTTCATTACCTTCTATCAGTTGCCACAGAAAAACACTTAGATACACTAATAAAAATCGGAAGCATAGTCCAGTCTCTGCTCCCTCACAGCTGAAGAAACAGAGCCCCGAGGGAATTAAAGAAGAGAGGTGGGCTACCCTGACAGATTAGGACTTACTAACAACCATGCCAAAAGGTTGCCTATTGTGCCCAGATTGTCGGCATTCAAATTGCAGAGAACCATTTCTTGGGATGGGGAAATGAGGATTGCGTTGTTTTCTGCTTTTTGTGGGGGGAGGTATGTACACAAGGCTGCCTTAGATGTTCACTGAAGCTTACCCGGTGAACGCATGGACAGTTGGGATGCAGGACAGAAGTTTTCCACTCAGCTGATTTCCTTTTAAGCCTTCCCAGTCATCTGACCCAGCTTCACCCTCAGCACCAAAGGACCCTACTGCTGCAGAGGAGTCAAACCGTGAGGTAAGGCCTAGATGAGAAGCAGGGCTGAAGGGAAGTAGTCTGCACGTATACCTGGTATTTCCTTGTGACTAGCCATCTTCCCCTACTGCATAATGGTACTCCATCACCATTGCCCAACACTGCACCTTTTCCAGTCCTTCCAAGAACACTCCACTGCCTGCTCACATCACCTTGGGAAGCCACAGTGGCAGGGCTTGCCTAAAGGGATGTTTCTACTGGCTTGAAAGTCTCCTAGCCAAGAAGCCTTGGTCTCTGAAGCCAGACACCTATGCTAACCTCATGACCCAAAAAGAGAAGGACTGGGTGATAAAGGTGCAGATGGTTCAGCTGCAGAGTGAGAACCCTCGCCTGGACGATTATTACTACCAGGTGAGCTCCCGACCCCCTCATCCCACCTTTAGACCTTGTCCAGATGAGTTAGGACTCCTGGGCCTTGTGACCCTCACTCCAACTCCTAGGGGCCACATCTGATTAGGTGCCGGCACAGTCACTCCAAGAAAGAACCCGTCTTCCTAAAGTTAGTGTCCCAAGCCCCTTCCTTCCTCATCTCCTACGCTTTGGTCTAATGGAGTTATCGACTCTTTTCTAAATACCCAAGGCTGGTCTCTCCATCCTTTTGAGAGGTTCCCATTTCTACCCTGGAAATGTGGGCCTGTCCATGTCTGTGCACTTTTGTGAGCCTTCAGGATACCTTATAAACACCCACACCCTTTGCCTGCTCCCTGGACCCTCAGGGGTACTATCAGAAGCTAGAGAAGACACAGGCAGACAAAGAGCTGCTTGGGCAGAGGAACAGGGCTGAGTCTCTCAAGGTGGTCACGCCTCACATCCAGAAGGCAGAAATTTATGAGTCAGGTAGGGCCAGACTGCTGGCTTGGGCTGGGTATCTGGGTGCATGGGTGTTCCTGTAGAGAAGCATGCTTCTCCCGGCTCTCTTATGCAGTGGTACGAATTGAGGGTTCCCTGGGCCAGGTAGCTGTATCAACATGTTTTAGCCCTCGCCGAGCTATTGATGCTGTGTCTCATGGAACTCAAGAGCAGGTAGGAGAGTGTGATCTTCCTAGAATTTTCCCTGCCCCTGTTGTCTAGAATGCATTTGTGTTTGAGGTTTAAACACTCTTACATCGTGACATACGGGTGAGGAAGCAGCGCGGTCAGACTTTGTGTCTAGCCTTTTCCAGCCACACTGATGGTGTGACTGACGGCCAGGAACCCCTTGTGCCTAGGATACGGGAGCTGCAAGCAGTCAGAGGCTCCGAGTACTCTCCCTGATTGAGAAGGTGAGATAAGCTCACTGAGAGATGGATGTTCTTGACTAAAATTTTAAGGATGGGCTATTGCTCAATTAACCACCTCTCCCCCCTCCCCGCCACTGTCGAATTCCCAGGTGTTCCTTCAGTTGCTAGAGATCGAAGAGGGCCAGAATGATGGGTTTCCACAGCTCTACCACTCGGGCGAACAGAGCAACCAGGTGGAGAAGCTCTTTCAGGCCTTAAAGACCCAGGGACAGGACAACTTGGAGTGAGTATGAGAGAGTCCCACCTTAGCCTCAGAAGAGGAGGGAGGCTCAGTGGCTGTGGGGGCTGGCTGCTGGCACGAAGCCTTCTTCCCTGGCACAGGTCTCAAAACACTCTCCTCTCTCCCCTGTAGGGAGACAGCAGATAGCCTTCTGCAGGTGCTGTCTGTGAGGAAAGGGAAAATTCTGGTGGCTCGGCTGCTCCCCTTCTTGCCCCACGATCAAGCCGTTAGCCTTCTCCTGTATATCACCTACCATCTGCCTCTCCTGATCCTGAGGGACATGGCTGACCAGGTACTGCGGCAATGAGTGGCAAAGAGGGTGGTCTCGATGGGTTTGGGGTCTTTCCCCTCCCCTATCTCCCCTCCCTTCATAGAGATGCCAGCAAGAGATAGAGTAGTGTGCTGCCCACCCCTCAAATAAGGAAGTTACAGAACGAACGACCATAGCGGCAGCAGATCATCTTCAGGTATGATGAGAGAGGAAAGTAGGTGAGCAGCCGTGCAGGTGTGAGTGAGCGTGAGAGGAGATAAGGGTCCTCTGAGGAGGGGCGGGTCTCGGCGGCGTCCTATAGAAAGCCACCATAAGATAAGTCAGTATTCTAGGACTCCATTAGGAATAGAGAGTCATGAGCAGTAGTAGGCCTGGCGAGGACCTGGACCACGAAGCTGTGCACAGCCCGTCAGCCAGGGAAGGAACTGGAGGTAAAGATGAGGGGTTGAAGCTGTGGTAGAGTTGGGAGAGATGCTTAGTGATTTTCTTGTAGGCTCTACACATTCTATTCAAACCTCTGGGAAAATACATCCATTATTTGACCTTCCATCAGCTCCTCCATGGACTTCAGGGTCTAATGTTGCTGCCCCCTGGCACCTCAGAGCGGCCAGTCTCTGTGGTGCTTCAGAATCAGGTAATATATCCGGGACACTTTTCTTTCCATAGATGGCTTTTTGTTTGATTTGTTGATTTTTTTTTCTTTTTTCTTTTCTTTCTTTCTTTCTTCTTTTTTCTTTCTTTTTTTTTTTTTTTTTTTGGAGACAGGGTCTCATATAGCTTAGGCTAGCCTAGAACTCTCCAGCTAGCCAAGGATAACCTTGAATTCATGACCTTTATGTTGGCATGTGCCACCATGACAGGCCTCCCATAGATGACTTCTCAGTGGCCTACTAGAAATTGTAAAGAGGATAGTCTCATCTCTACACAAATCTTATCTTCAATAGCACTTCTCAGTGTCCAGTGAGAACTGGACATGGTCTACTTTTAGTATGCAGGAGGCTGAGGCAGAAGGACCATGAGTTCAAGATCAGCTTAAGCATCACAGCGAGGATTAGGACACCCTAAACCTGTCTCAAAACCTTCCAGGGAGCACAGGATAATCTGGACATAGCTTATTAAGTACCAGGTCCTCGGTCCCACTCCCAGGAAGATAACAAGGAGCTGTGTGTGGGGGGGGATGGCTGTTCCCCCCCCTCATTTCCTCTCTGTTCTCTTCCTTTCCCCATCTCTTCTCTCCTTTTGTTTCTACACCGTCTGGCACTGTTGCTTCTCAGTATGTGGTGAGACTTGTGGCGAATGCCACAGTGGGAATGGCGTGTAGTACAGGACTTCTTACCTCCTGGCATTTAGAAAAGAGAAGTACACATCTTGATTGGGGGGGTGTGGCTCCGTTGGTGGAGTGTTTGTGGGGTGTGCACAAAGTTCTGGTTTCGGTTTCTAGCACCACACAAAGCGAGAGTGGAGGTGCATGCTTGAAAAGGAAAATAGAAACGAGGGTATCAGGGTTTCAGGGTCACCTTTGTCTTTAGGGTGAGTTCAAGGCTAGCTTGGACTATCTGAGATCTCTGTGTGGCAGGGGAGGGGTGCCACATCTTTGTGATGGAATCCCTGTGACTGTTGGTGGTAACCGCTTCCACACCAGAAGTCTCAAAACTTTTTATTGTGTACCCTTTAGAGAAAAAAAAATGGAGACATCCCATGCGTTTATAACATTAGGTTTTTCTTCTAAAGAAGAGATAAAAAGTCTTTTTCTTTGTCCTGAGCATCCAAAATAAGTGACAAATTAGGCACTTCCCATAGCATTGAACTCTGACTCCAGTCCACAACAGCAAGTCTGTAAGTATTGCCGCTTTAGACTTGACAGACTGTGTTCATAGCTAGTGAATTCTCTTGTGCAATCTCCTCTGTAGCTCTCTGCTGAAGGTGGTACTTCTGAAAGTGTGGCCCACAGACTACCCGAATCATTCCTCATCTACTGACTGACATCCCCCCAAACCCCATTTAGTCAGCTCTCAAAGGCTTGTGGAAAGTTTAGGGCAGTGAGTTCTTTTTTAGATGTAAAATCTGACCACACTTGTGGCATTGGTCTCCATCTGCACACGCAAGCCTGTCCTTCAGGAGGAAGCCAGCAAAACCAGAGAAGCCCAAAATGGCTAGGTTGTCCCCCTTTTGTCTTGAACTGTCTATTCTATCGCTCACAGTTTGGGATATCTCTGCTTTATGCCCTGCTGAGTCATGGAGAGCAGCTGGTGTCCCTGGATTCTTCCCTCCAATCCAGCAGTGACTGCGCAGCCTGGTAAGATGGCAAAGGCTTGTCAAAACTTTCCAACATTACTGGGTGTGCAGGGCAAGCCTGACCAAAGAGATCCTGAATAGCACATTAGAGGACCAGGGAGGAAGTTGGGCAGAGAAGAAGACATCCCAGAACTGTATCTTCTCCTGGCCCCACAGAGTATCCTACAATGTTGGTTTCCCATGGGGAACAGGGTCATAGTAATTAAATTTTAGAGTCAAACAAACCTGTCTATTGCAATGTAACTTTGAGACATTTCACCTGTTACTGTTTCTTCATCTGGGCGTGGTGCTTTTAACTCCTTAGAGTTATTAAGACCGGATAGGCATTACCAGGTATGTACCAAATGTACGCGCGTCACCTCTCAATTGCTGGCGGGGATGGGACCAGTGGCTGCTGGTGGATGCGGTTTCCTGAATAGTACAGCAGCTCTCTTCCATCCCTCAGGACAGACTTGGTGATTCTGGTTGCGTGGGAGATATCTCAGTTGCCCACAGCATCCCTGGCAGAGCCCCTAGCCTTCCCCAGGAACCTGCTTCCCCTCTTCTGCCATCACATGGACAAACAGCTAGTGCGGCAGCTGGAAGCCAGAATGGAGTAAGTGCTTACAGAAACAGTCACAGCCTCGTCTGGGTCTGCGGATCCAATCTCAGTGAAGCTGTGAGCATGGACAGTAATGTGCTTTAGACAGAGTTCTATGGGCCGGGCATGGTAACACATGCCTTTGATCCCAGCACTTCGGGTCAGAGGTGAGTTTTAGGCCAGCCAGGGCTACGTAGTGAGATATGAGGCCCCAGTGAGATGGCTGAGCAGGCAGACACACATGGAAGGAGGCAGTGACTCCTAAAAGTTGTCCTGTGACCTGCAAATGTTCACTATGGAGTGTGTGAGTGTGTGTGTGAGTGTGTATGTGTGTGAGTGTGTATGTGTGTGAGTGTGTATGTGTGTGAGTGTGTATGTGTGTGAGTGTGTATGTGTGTGAGTGTGTATGTGTGTGAGTGTGTGTGTGAGTGTGTGTGTATGTGTGTGTGTGAGTGTGTGTGTGTGTGAGTGTGTGTGTATGTGTGTGTATGTGTGTGTATGTGTGAGTGTGTGTGAGTGTGTGTGTGTGTGAGTGTGTGTGTGAGTGTGTATGTGTGTGAGTGTGTGTGAGTGTGTGTGTGTGAGTGTGTGTGTGAGTGTGTGTGTGAGTGTGTGTGTGTGTGTGTGAGTGTGTGTGTGTGTGAGTGTGTGTGTGTGTGAGTGAGTGTGTGTGTGAGTGTGTGTGTGAGTGTGTGTGTATGTGTATGTGTGTGAGTGTGTATGTGTGTGAGTGTGTGTGTATGTGTGTGTATGTGAGAGTATGTGCAAGAGTGTGAGTGTGAAAGTGTGTTCATGTGATAGTGCATGTTTGAGAGAGTGCGTGTGAGAGTGTGTGAGAGAGACGGTGTGTCTTGTGTGCGTGTGAACAAGCATGTAAGCATAGGAAAACATTAAAAAGTCAATCTAGACCCTCGTGTACTTGTGGACTCATTAGGGTCCTTCGTACTCTTCAGTCAAACCTTTGGTTTATTCCCAGTGTTTGGTCATTTGTAAGTACTGTTTCAGAGCAGTAATTTGAAAAGTTGAATAATTCATTCAAAAAATAGTTGAGTGATTATTTCAGAATATCAGGAATAACACAGATAATCTCTGTCGTCGGAATTTTACTAGCTGTTAGAATGAGCCAAGCATAAATTAAACCATAAATATTTGTAAATATGGGATTGTTTGCAGTTAACTCTTGTTCTCTTTTTAGGCTTGCCTGTATCTACTGATTTATGAGTTCTTGAACTTACGTGTGAGAAGCTGAAATCTCAGAAATGAAACTACATCACATCACCTGCCTACAGTGATACAGTCCAAGTCATTTCCCCTACTCTGTTATGTTGGAGGACCCTACCATATTGTCATAGCTAAGTGACTTGCCTAAAATTAAGGCATGACTTTAGGTATAATTAGAGAAACATCAAATGATATGTTGAAACTTGTTTGTAAGTTTAGGATTACAATGAAGACCATTTTTGTGAGTGTGTCAATATAAGGGGCAAGGCCTTGTTATATGTAATAAAATGTAATCTGGGACATTGCTTCAGTGTGCCAGACTTTATGTAAACCAAACAGCTGAGCTAAGGCTGAGAGATTTGGATGTAAGCATCTTCCTTGGCTTGGTTGTCAGATGAAGTCCTGCATTCGTCAAGGAACACTGGAGAACCTTTCATGCACCAGGCTGGGATGCAGGTAGGAGGATAACAATGGCGCACAAGTCTCTGCTACTTTCAGATGTACATAGAGGCTGGGTAAGAATTGACAGAAAATATCAATCAGTCATAAATACTGTCGGGAAACAGGATGATTTGAGAGCGACTGGAGTGGAGGAGACTTTAGATTGGACTGGTTAGGACGGTGCTTTAACAGGTTGCTGTTGAGTCAATCCTCTGTGGAAGTGGCCGCGTTACCAAGGCTAAGCATGGAGACATACCCCTGAATTCCTGAGTAGCTAGATGGCTGGGGAAGGAGCCGCAGGAGTCCAAAGGCCACCAGGGAGCCTTTATCAAATAAAAAACTTGGCAAGGTACTGTTCAATTTCTCCCAAACGCCTTTCCAGCACATCTAAGCGCTCTCCGCCTTTCTTTTCTATACTGGATTGTACGTCCCTGAGTGAGCCGCTTCACTCTGTACTCAATCCATCTGTTACAAAGGATATCATTTGACTCCGATATTCATGCTAACCTTCATGCTTGTAAGGAATAGAAAACTCAGTGGAGGTCTATTGGTCTGAGAGGTCGGCACCCCCAAACCGTGCAGCTACGTATCCAGGGGTACAGAAAAACTCACTATGTGGGGTCTGAAAAGCAATTTTTGTAGGCAGGGGCTGGCAAATGCTTTTCGGGTAAAAAATGTTCTTCAAAACTGCCTGGTGGGAGATAAATCAGGTGTCCTGGTTTTGCAAACTCTGGGCTCCAGGGCATCTGATGGGAATGGCAGCTTTGCAAAATTCCGTGGGAGCAGATTTCTTGAAGCCCAGGGCTCTGTTTTGTACCCCTGTTTTGTTTTGGTTTTGTTTTTAAGAGGAAAGGGTTTTTTAATTCTAGTCTATTAAAGAGTCCTTGCTACCAAGAACCGCATGACTGTTGTTCCAAGCAATTGCACAAAAAGTGACGAGGGGCCAGCGACTGGGTTTTAATGAGCAAGCACAGCAGAAGCAACTGACACGAGTTGGCGTTTATTGACTTGAGCTGAGAGAGGAGCGCAGGTGTGGTTTCACGGGGTCTGCTTAGGCCCGCCCCCACCCCCCAGCTAAGAAGACTACAGGCGTAGGAGCGCCTTGCAGTTCAGGTGACAGTCACAAGGCACAGAACACCGCGCAGGCCCGTGACGCACGCGGGCGGGCGTCTCTCCCGGAAGGAGCGCCCGGACCGGGATGGCCGCTGAACCGGGGCCCGGAAGTGCTGCCTCCCCCGGCTGTGCCGGGGCCATGGAGCGGGTTCTGCCGGTGCTGCTGGTGCAGCTCCCTGTCGAGGAGACGGCGCAGCTCGGAGCGCGGGCGCAGCTGCACCGAGAGCAGGAGGCCCTGGGGAGCCTGACGGCTGCGGGCAATCTCCGAGTGCTCTCCCTTGCGCCGGGCAGCAGGGGTGGAAGCAGCTGCTGCCTCCAAGGCCCCTTTGGGCAGTAAGTGCTGCGGGACAGCTGTGCAGTGCGGGAGGCGTCTGGACCTTGAGCTGCTCCGGCCGCTCCTGAGCGGGAAGCCTGCGTGCTCCTCGCGGCGCGGGGTGGTGGGAGAGGGGTGACAGTGGGGGAATCACCCCAAAAGCGTGAGCCCCATTCCTCTAGGAACCTTTCCCATCCCGGAGCGAAATGCTCATCTTGTTGCATCTCCCTAACTCACTCTCTGGATGGGCAGAGAAGATAACCCTGGATGGGTCCCAGTCCAGGAACTGTTTCTTTAACTTAAAACAAATTGTTACAGAAAGGAGTACTAAGTCTGTCTTTCTCTTCCCCACCTCCCCCCTATCCCCCCCCCCCCCCCCCGTCTTCCTTACGTAGCCCAGGCAGCACTAAAACTTGGTACACAGACTAGGCTGGGCTCGAACCTACAGAGATCCACGTGCCTCTGCCTAAACTACCACACCTGACCTTGTTTAAAGATGTCAGATGAGCTAGGCGGTGGTGGCGCACGTGTTTAATCCCAGCACTTGGGAGGCAAAGACAGGAGGCTCTCTGTGAGTTCAAGGCCAGCCTGGTCTATAGAGCGAGTTCCAGGACAGGCTCCAAAGCTACATAGAAACCTTGTCTTGAAAAACAAACGGACAAAAAAAAAAGTGCCAGATGATCTGGCTTATTTCAAATATCCATTTTTGTTACGGAAATAATGTTTTCTTGCAAACATAGCCCCACTCAGTGCACGTAAGTGCCCTGGGGTCACTGAACTAGCCCAGTCCCACTTTTAACGTATTTGATCACAGCCTCCAGGTAGCTGGTTTGCAAGTCTCAATCCTCCTGCTTTACCCTTTCTAGTGCCTCCAATCTCTGTACTTGCATGCCTGCTGTTTCTTAGGCACGAGGTTCCCATGAACCGAGAAGGTAGACAGTTACAATAATGTACTACTTTCCATTTTCATAAATCCTATCCAGGGTAGACAGTCGGCGTCATAAAGTTTAGAAATGACCCGACTATATGCTGACCTTTCTAATAGTGGGAAGTATTCTAGGACCAGTCTGTATGAGACTGTAGAGCCAAGAGGTATCTCACTTTAGAACCTCCAACTTCTGTAACAGCTCTGTACACACAAGGCAAGTTTGGTAAATCAGCAAGTATTTTACCTGCGCCCCTTAAATAAAGCCTTGTCTGATAAGGTCTCACAGTGATCTCCCTTTGGGATAGTGCAGTGCCTTTAAATAGTTTACTTTGTTTAACCTTTTCCAGGGTTGATATTTAGGTTATTTCCCAAATTTTCAGTGTAAACAGAAATTAGGTGTTCGTAAAAAAGAAATAATCCCTGTTATTTAAAAGGCAGAAATGTGAATTGTTGGTCTTTTCCTTTTGGGGGAGAAGAGGGGATGATGCAAGACAGGGTTTCACTTTGTAACCCTGGCTGTCTTGGAACTCACACTGTAGACCAGGCTGGCCTCCAACAGTGACTGCCTCTGCCTCCCGAGTGCCGGGATTGAAGTGAAAGTCTTTCTACTAAGGACCTAATAGCCGCCCCATTTAATATAAAACTTACTTCTGTAGAAAACAAAGCTTTTAAAGAAGTTGAAACTCTCAGAGGGTGCCTCATCTCCTCGAATTGCGTTGTTTTCAGAGTGGGCCCTACTGACTGCTTTTGAGAAAGGGTCTTTTTCTGTAGCCTAGGCTGGCCTCAAAGTCTCAGTCTTCCTGTCTCAGCCACTGAGGAATGTGATTATTGTTGAGCCACCACATCTGGCTCATGTGTATTAGTGATAGTCTTGCTATGTCACTTAGGCTGTCCAGTTCCTGGGCTCCAGAGACCCTCCTTCCTCAGCCTTCTGAGTAACTAACAGGTCCGTATTGCTATGCCTGGCTTGGGTC